CTGAAGGCGGTTAGTATTTTTTTCTTTTTTTTCAATCTTCGGTCGTCAAGTTTTTTCTATAGCATGCCATATCTAGAAATATCGGATGCTTTTTGGGCCCTCTCCACCATTAGGGAGGCCAGTATGCACCATAAGTTATTGAATGCTGAATATCGTAGTTGTAATTTCGGTCGGCAATGGTTATATGATTAGAAGCAGAAAGCCCTAAATGGGAAATGGGTTGATAGCCCCTGGATGACGCTGGCGAACGATTCAAATGAATAGAAAAGATACCAAATTCTTCCATCAGGAACTTGACAGAAATGAGTGAATCGAATTCCACTTATTTTCCTGAATAATATGTGGAATTCAGTCATTTATGATTGGCCTGTTCTGAACTGAAGCGATATTCGTCAAAAACTTCCTGCACATGGATTTGTCTTTCCACTTAATGACTATTTACTCAGCAAAGAATATTTTATAAGTCTGGGTACTCAACTAACTAGCTCGTTGGTGATATATTCATCCTGCTTTCGAAAAACCAGAGCCACAAAATTTTTTTGAAGTGTTGTTTTTGTAGTGCCAAGCCCCGTTCGTGGTCTCCGTGCTCACCCGATGAATCCGAAGGAAGCTGAAGAGAAGGCAGTCGTGCACCTGATTTGGAGGAGGCCGCGACGACCGAATGGAAAACTTCTCAAATATGTGGTATGTTGAAAGGCACAATCGATAATACTCACCATTCGCGATTCTATTCACTGCTCCGTTCAGATTGAATATTGTCGCACTGAGAACGGCCGAGTGGTTGAAAGGGATTGCCCTAAGCAGGAGGTTGAGGCTGATCGAACACAGGTGCGGCCTTTTCCAAATTAATGCTATATTTTTGCGTTGATGGAAAGCAAAAAAAAATAGATTTTTATGCAATCTTACCTTTTCTCAGATTCGCTTGTCGGGCTTGGAATTCGACACTCCATACCGGTTCATCGTACGAGCTCAAACCAGCGCCGGAGAGGGTGATCCAAACAGCAGCGATGCTTC